TCTGTCCAGAAAAAGTCCAGCCATTGTTAATATAACGAGAAAGATTTGTGTGACATCAATGTAATGTGGCAGGCAAAGGGGAGTGGACTGGACTGAGCGTGCATGAACAATAACAACTTTACTGTGCTAGTCAGTGGGAGTGATAGAATCCATTGAGTGAGCATGTGTGCTGTGTGGCCATCGCATTCAAAATGAGCAAGTACAGCAACAAATTTGCATCAAATTTTGTGTTAAGTTTGAACGCCCCTCCACAGAAACTACTTGGATGATTCAGAAGGCTGCGGCTATGGGCAACTGGTGACTGGCAGCTTCATCATGACAATGCACTCACTCATGCATCACGTCTCTTATAGAGTTTTTTGGCAAAACATCAAATTACCCAGGTCACTCAGCTCCGCTACAGCCCAGATTTGGAACCCTGTGACTTCTGGCCTTTCCCAAAACTAAAATCCCCTTTGAAAGGGAAGAGATTTCAGACAATCAATGAGATTCAGGAATATACGACAGGGCAGCTGATGATGATCGGGAGAACTGTGTTAAGTCTCAAGGTGCATACTTTGAAGTGGAAGGAGGTGTCATTGTCCTATGTACAATGTTTCTTGTATCTCCTTCAATAAATGTCTCTATTTTTCATATTACATGGCTGCATACCTTCTGGACAGAGGTCCAGATGTCCTATACGCACACAAGAGATGTGCGGCAGTCAAGAAACTCAGAGACTATTTTTAGGCTATTCCCACTAGAGGGCACTAGACCCTGCACTATATCCTCAATCATCGCTATGACCCTCAGCCTTCTCTACCCCACCCCAGCCCTCTGATTCTAAAAAGCTCTTCAGCATATGTAACAAAATCCAGCCAGAAATGGAACTCTCTCTGTTGGAGAAAGTTGGGATTCTTGAAGTAGACTATGTACCGTCCCTATAGGTAGAACTCAGGCCCCATCTCATTGATTTCAGATCCTGACACCTCAGTGAACTCAAGGGCTCTAGAGATAGACACCCCTGGGCCTGAGATATTCCAAGGGTAGCTGTGGAGATGCCAGGAACTGATAAACAATAAACAAAGCTTGTCAGTTTCACCACATCTCACTCATCACCACCATGTTACAAGCTTATGGTGCTTTCCAGCAGTATAACCCTGTTCTAACTTCATTTTCAAGTCTAGAAAAAACGGAGGTCCAGATTTATCCAAAGTTACTTCTAAGAAGCTCCTCTTGGCGTCCAGCCCAAACACCATTATCCCCTCTGGGCAGGTGTGACTGTAAATCAATTAGACGACTCAATATACTAATGACGAACTTGAATGTGTGTGGTTTCTTTTCCTCCCGGCCACAAGAGCAGCAGATCCAGGCTGATTCCAGGAAGTGGTCATCTGTCAGTTTAACACACTCTTCCGTCAATGTTCTCCAGCTAGACCGCCAGGAACACAACTGTGGTCAAACTGTCTTTGACTCTCATAGCAGTGGGAGACCATGTACTGTGGGGAAGCGTAGGGCAGCTCAGTAAGAAGGTGTTAGAGACAATTTATGGGAATGGGGGAGGGTTCAAAGAACAGGGGTTCACTCTGGATTGGGTGTGGTCAAAAAGTGGGGATAATTCTTTGATCATGCATTCAGCATCTGAATAAATCTAATTTAGGGCAGATGAGAGCAAAACTAACATTCACCGGTAAAGCAGCAACAGTGACTCAGATTTGGTGGAAAGGTGAGATGTTTGGCATTTTGTGGTTTGTGGTGACCTTGTTTTTGCCTATGCTTAAATAGAATGATGAAGTTGTCTTATTTGTTGTTTCACCTCACCGCGGTCACAGCCTGCCCTTGCCTGAGGTCGGTGTCCTGTGAGATGCTGTCCAACCAGCAAACACTGTGGCCCAACTATGCCAAGCCAGCTCCTGACCAACATCCGAGGCATAGCTATTTCAGCTTAGTTCCTGGCTGTTAGGGATTGCTTTTCTTTTTCTCACCTCTCTTTAGTCTTGCCTTTTCATGCCTGGAAAACATTGGGGAGATTAGATAAAACAAAACTGTATAGCATCATACTCCAGAACTTATTTACCAAACTAGCCATTCTATGCTTTTCATTGTTTTGACAATTGTGTGTCCACGTCCCTTGGGGACCTGTGGAGGAAAGCCCCTTCCCCAACAAATTAAGTCAAACATCTGACTTAGATGACAGGCATCTAATGTCATCAAACCAGGAAGCCACAGTCAGGACTTGAACTCTTATATCTCCTTTGCTTTCCCCACACACTATGGCAATGACACCTGCTAGTGACCAGCCCATACTAGAATCTGGACTAAGTCCAGTAGGGCTTTTTCAAGCTACTATTGAGTTGAGTCTAAAATTCTATCAGAGATCAAGGGCAGGGCAATAACAAAGAGCAGAGAATCTGTAGGTTGTATATCGATCAGCTGAGGGCATTTGTGGAGTTCATCGGAGTCCCATCGAACCCTGCAGGGCAAGTGCACAGACTGCGGCACAGACCAAGGCTGGAAGCTAAGAGGTTATGTTAGAAAGGTCTTAACTTAGTCCCCTCCATTTACTCCTGAGATCCACACGCCCTCATTCTTGTATATCCTGTACAAATTCCCATCTAAGGACAGGTTCTGTGGTGAGGCAGTTCTTCATAAACCTTCCTAACTCCTCAATTGACATTTAAAGACCCAGGCCTATCAATAAACATTCAGGAAGAGGGTTTTTATCCACTCTACAACCTTCTCCCGAACTTCTGCTGAAGCCTTGTAAGACCAAGGGGGAGGTATAACATACTGAGGCTAGAAACTGATACTTATTTTTGTTCTCTGGGCTTTGAGGTAGCAGAGACGGAAAAACACGCAGATGCAATTTCTTTCCAGAGATTTTAATTTATTCTGGGGGAGGGGTTGCAAGGGAGGTCAATGGAATGAGTTTCTTCCCACTGGCTTTGTAAGTCTTTACAAAATATTTTTGTATCCTTTCTCATGGGAAATGAGCAATTCTCAACTTGGAGGTGAGCTCTCCAGCAAAGAGCCTTAGCTTGCTGCTCTAGAAGGCTCACTCTTACATTTTTCTTGTGTTTATTTTCAGTTGTCTCAGCCCATAATGTTTTGTCAGGCAAGGTCAATTAAGAGAGACTCAGAAACACAAATACAGTTGAGTTGAATCAAAGGACTTGCTTAAGTATAGAGAAATGGTGGCCTCAACCATCAAATTATTAAGCTTACAGCCAAGTCAAATCTAAGTCTCAGTTTCCTTCTGAAAGCTCAATTCTTTAACAAGGAGGTAAGAACAAACGAGGGTTTCAACTCATATCACAAGTGCCCAACCTTCACAGGAAGGGTTTTTGTGGGGTTCCACGCTGCCTTAACACAACCTGCACGGTCACTCTGAGGGGGGGATGTGAGGGACACGTGCATGTAACTTACAATGTCAATATGATATCCAAGGTTGTTAATACTTAGCTATGAATCATCACCTGGGAGACAAGCACACACACAAAATTAGGAATCCTTGTCACAGAATCATTATAATGTCACCTCTGACTCTGGTGTCCCATAACCAAAACGAAGTTATTTTTCATTTGTCTGTAAGTTCCTAATGTACTCTGCTCAGAGCACTGTTGAAGCATAAGGGAACCTGTACAGGAAACAGGTTGACAGGCCAATAAAACAATTAGCCACATAGCTTAAAAGCTCTCATGCCCTGAGTTTTTAATTAATTGGTAATAATGTAAAGAAATTGTTTAGATATTTGATTCATAAAATGTACTGTTAAGACTTTCAATATTCTGGCTATTTTAAGATGAGAATTAAGAAGATGCTCAAGTCCTTTGTGGCAATAAATGGATTTACGTATTGTTTGAAAAGGTGTGTCCTCACTAGAAGGAGCTACAAGGCAAGTGAGGCAGCACTGAGAGCAGGCAGGGAGGGAAGTGGATGCAAGAGGAAAAAACAAACCAGGCCCACTTTACCTAACAGTACCCATCAGAGGCAGCGCCCATCTGCCCAGTGAGACCCAGGCCAAATACCAAACTGTGGTGAATTGTGACAAACTTCCCCTCCCCCAACACGGTATTTCCACCATGTAAACTGGGTATTACATCATCACTTAGACCTACCCACCTGGGGCATCCCTAGGACAAGTCTAAGTGGTCTGTCGTTAGCACTATCCCTACAATCAAAGTGTTCCCTCAGGAGAAAAAAGACTTAGCAAATATTTTTGTATTTGGAAAGGGAAGACTTTTCTCCTTTGTTAAAGGGATTTTAAGTCCCACCGAACAGAGACGGAGGAAAATTTGGAGAAATGGGGAACAGTTCTCATTCCCCAGAAATGGTGTCACACTGGTGACGGCAGGCCTCACCGCCATTTGACAAATGAAAAGGAGGCCCAGAAAAACATTTTGAGGTCTTTCCCTGCTATAGCCTTCATGGCAGACACAAGTAACTTTCCCAAAAAGCCTCTGTTCCAGCTCAGTCAGGTTCGACTGGAGACCAGCTGTGAGTGAAGGCCCTTAGCTTCACTGATTCTCCTGAGAAAAAGATGGATGGACACGGAGACTATGGCCCGTTGCCCTGCTCTTGGTCTATGGGCTTGTATTTCCATAAATGGACCCAAACAAATGTAAGAGATGACGTCCCCCTACCCACACATGGACCCCTCGAGTGACTGCTGGGGGGAAAAAGCTTTGGCCGTGTTCAGAGAAAGCTCGAGTCTTGGCTCTGGGAGGCTGCATCGTGAGACCACAGGACATGGTCGTGCACCTGGCCCCCCTAGGTTCCCCCTCCCCAGGCCAGTGCAGGAAATGAAGTGCACGGGGCGGGAGGCGGGGTCCCCACAGCCCAAACCCCGCCCGAGGCCTGGGCCTGGCAGCCAGCACCTCGGGGCCCGGGCAGCACTCCTACTGTTCCTAGAAGCCGGGGGCTGACATGATCACAGAGCCAGAGGCCACATCCTTCTTTGGGGAACAAATCTTTTTATTTCGTAACTGGTAGACTGTATATGCAAAGTCCCAGCTAAGCAGCTCATTGTGATGCGTAATTACGTACCCCTATTTCCTTATTTCAATGATACGCTCAATTGGCTATTCCCCCAGATACAGATTTCTGGATTAATTCTGTCAGTCTTTTCACTCAAAAATGTAGTAAGTTATCTCCAGAACACTGACTTTATCAACCTTGCCAGTAGCATTCTTTATATATTACAATGACCAGCGTGTTCTTCACATTTCCACTGCTTTGAAATTAAGTCTGGAATACTTCCCTACGTATGTATGAGACTTACCAATGACTCACATTTTTATAAAGAGGATTTTAAGTCCATGTGTATAACATTGCCCAGATATAATTCTCTAGGAAGAGAATTCCTATTTATTTCTTTATTTATTTTGCAAACATTTTTAGAGGCAGGGTGTTAAACTGATTGAAATTTCACAAGATTGACATTATTGCTTAAAGTGCTTGAATTGGTTACATTTTTAAAAATTAAGGTACAGATTATTTTAAATAAAAACTAAAAAATTTTTTAGCAACAAAGTCATATGAGTGCCGCACACATACAGTAACTATTTTGACTACACAGAAATGGAAGCCAAAAATAAATTAATGTAATACTGAAAAACAGAAAATTTAATTAGGCAGAAAAGTAGGAAATAGCCTTCCCTGACCCATGCCATTTACATGAGTGAATCACAATAGCGCTGAAAAATGCCTTGACCGTAGGAGAGCAAACAAAGGCAAAACATTTAGTGCACAATATTTTAATACATGTGAATATACAAAGTTGATCAAAATGCAATGTTTAAAGATAAAATCCATCTGTAATAAAGCTACACTCCAATATCTAAAATAAGTCCTAAGCTCCAGTTAGAACATAGTTCATTGTTAGGCATGCCCATGAAATGAAGGGTATCCATGAAAATATATGCAGAGGGACCATTTCTATCATTTTTTCCCTATTTCATCTGAAATCCAAAATATACCAGGTTATAAAACCACATACGACCGGCATCCTATTCAAACCAACCCCCTCCTATGCTGTTCCTTGGCTCCCTTCAAACCAGACCACTTCACACAGCCTCGGAACGGAAAATGCATCACTGTACTAGGACTGATTTAGCATTTTACCAAAATTTACCTTTAAACAAATGACATTTTAGCGTACTGTACCATCATCTAGATGCTAAACTACGGAGTAACCAATAAAGCAAATACTGGGTTGGCCAAAAAGTTCATTTGTTTTTTTTCTGTAGGATGGCTCTAGTAGCGCTTAGTTGTCTTCAGCTTCATTCAAAACAATTTTGTTAGATTGTATTGTGGTAGCTATTATATTATTGTGGATTTTTTTTTAAAAATCTTATCAAAATTGGTGAACTTTTGTGTAGTCATTTTAATATTGAAGATGGAAGAAAATATGCAATATTTTCAGTATATTATGCTTCATTGTTTCAAGAAAGGTAAAAACACAACTGAAACGCAAAAAGATTTGTGCAGCGTATGGAGAAGGCGCTGTAGTTGATCAAGTGTGTCAAAAGTGGTTTGCAAAGTGTCGTGCCGGAGATTTCTCGCTGGATGATCGATGCTCCACAGTCTGGCAGACCAGCTGAAGTGGATAGTGATCAAATTGAGACATTAATTGAGAACAATCAACATCGTATCATGCAGGAGACAGCCGACATACTCAAAATATCCAAATAAATAAAGCTACTGGTGAAAATGAAAAATGTGTCTTTTATTTTATGGAAAAAACGAACTTTTTGGCCAACCCAATATTTCTTCTTTTTTAAGTGTAAAACACTATAACTTACTTTAAAACACCCAACAGTTAAAAAAAAAAAAATACAGTGGACCTCACTCCAGCAGGAACCTGGCACAAAAACCCCGGCCATTTGCAGGACAGTGCTGAGCCTTTTGCTATCACCAACCTCAGAGTGGCCTCGCACATCGCATACAAATCTCTGCTCTGTGTGATGAACAAGGAAAGAAGATTAAGAAGTGTTTGCATGCTACCACTGTCTTTATATAAAGTGAAATGACTGGGGACAAATGTAGCTGCCTAGTATTTGTTTCATAAATTGAAGAGGAAGAGGGAAGAAATTACCAGATAGCTCTAAAGTTTAAAAAAACTGATGGGGGATTGGAGGATACGTGCATTTTGGTCTTTTTCCAATCTTCTTTTCCTACATCACTCAACTGAATCTATGACTTTGCATTTAGATACTACTTATACAGGCTTCCAAATGAAATATTTTTTCCTAATAAATTAGCTTCGAGTCATTTCAAAGATAATTTTAATAGTTTTTCTTATGAATCAGTTCCAAATATATTATATACCAACCATCATTTTTTTAAACTTTGCAACCTGCAGTTCAAATATATGGGTTTTCTATAGTACAAACAGTTCCCTGTATCAATCACCTTCAATTGGAAACTGTCTCGCCTTAAAAACAGAATAAAAACTCATCCTCTTGGTAAGTGATTACTGCACATTTCATGGAGGAAAAAACAGACAAAATATTTATAAATATGAATTTGCCTCTCAACAAGGCAAGGTATATTTCTGTCACTCGTATAAAATAATGTGAAGATCACCCTGTTTTGTCTTCTCCAGTGAAAAGTAAAACATTTCACTTCAAGCATGAACAAATGAAGTGTTGGCATGCTTATTTAAGTTCTGAGCAATAAACAGTTCAAGATATTTCAAAGATAAGAAATCCAGTTTTCATCTAGATAAAGTGCTACGCTCTTAATTGTTGCAAAATGGCCACTAACATTTTCAATTTCAATTTTAGTTCACATTATGCCAAACGTCCGCGTGTTCGTTCGCTGATTTATTAAGTAACAAAATAATGTGTTCACAGTATATCATAGTGTATGGAAGTCAAATGACTTCCCAAAGAAAGGTCTATGACTCATAGTATTTGTAGGAAGCCAAAAACCAGCTGAACAGCAAAAACACCACATTGACCCTTTTAATAAAAGGTACCAATACTCAAATGATCTAATAAATACATATATAACAAAAGTGAAAAACGTAAAAGTAACTATGGTGAGATGAGGTTCTTCCAAAAAACTCCGTCTTGTCAAGCATTCTAGGAGCCTGAGCCACAGAAACGCCGCCACTTCACTCGTTCCTCCACCCGCCCACGGACACTTCCTCGGAGCCGCCGTCGCGCCCAGCTCACTCGTCCTCCCTGTGGGGAAGGTTCCACGTGAGCCCTGGACTTGCAGGGCCTCAGTAAACAGACTGAAATGTTTGAGAGTGGACAGCTGTACAACGCGGCCGACTGTAGTGAAGGCGCAGTGCCTTCGTTCTTCCGGATAAAGGGCGGTGCTGGCGTTGACCGGCTGAGGAGGGCCGCGCCGGAGGCGGTCACCGCCGTGTCCCTGCCCTGCAACCGCAGACTGCGGAACACCAACAGGTCTGGAAAGATACCCTGGAAAGCTTAGCAGTGCCAGAGAGGCTTGATACAACTCACAGGACCTTACAGAAGCAAGTGTCACTAAAAACAAACAGCAAAGAGTTATTTTCCTGAAACGTGGTTTTGGTAAAAAGGTAAGAAAAGTAACCGTTTTCTCCCCCACAAAAGCTTCCTCCTCCTGGCTTTGCCTGCCCTGAGCTCCCAACCTTCTTTGCCCCTGGGTAACGGCTAGGTGAGCGCAGCTCCGGGGCACGTGCTAGCCACCATGTGCCAGCCGCCATGTGCCACCTGGGGGGATGGGTTTAGTATTGAGGTTACACACTTTCCAACAATTTCACTCGCACAAACTTAAAGCTATAGTTGCAGCCCTAAAGGTGAACATCTACCCACTTCTTCTGTCCTTCTGTCAGATAAGAGGCAGAGAAGCTAAAAATGGGTAGCCGTGTTTCCAGGGACCAGTTAAAGGAATGCATTGAAAGGAGGCCCTGGAAACCATTTAGGAAGTTTAGCAAAGACCCAAAATAGACTGCAGACATTCTAGGAAACAAACGTCATTCTAATTCAGCCAGTGGCATAGCATTGACCCAATCCTAAAATTAGCAACTGTTATTCGTGTAAATCTTACTACAATCTGATTGCAGTTAACTCTATCTCAGACTAAAATAAAACCACGAGTAGTGCTGCAAGGGAAAAAACAAAGGGAGAGAGAGTCTAACACAGCCAGACCATTGAGACTTGGAGTGATACCATTGGCGGGCCGCTGGGGAAGGAGAAAGTCTGCAGAGAAACCAGGTAATAGTGCTTTGAACATGTTCCCCGACTTGAGTTAGTCTCACAGTTCTTGCAGTTATTCTCTTGACTGATAGAATAAAATATATCCAGATTCTGAATTTTTTGATATATCTGACGTCAGGCCATAGAATTCTTCAATAGCTTGGGCATCTATTTTCTGCAATAAAAGAGAAATAAAAGAATGTATTTGTTTAACATGATGACTGGGAGGAGGATAGGAAAACTAACGGAATGCACAAGAAAAATGTAAGAAACACTGTTGGCTATAAAATTACAACTGGGAACTTTCGATAGCAAATGGATAATTCCACAGACTTGGCAGAGAGACAGGATTTCATAAGCTGGAGCTCTTTGGGAAAGAAAGCCACCCTTTAATCTATCAGCAGCCAGATGTGGGCATTCTTTGAAGAAGCCAGGACTTCTGTCTTTCAAATGGAAAACTGGGGGATTTGGGGAACAGCCCCGACGCTTTCATTCTTTTTTTCATTCTTTTTCATTTTACCCTCATGGGCTAAACTAGACTGTGCCTTTAAGCACTGAATTCTCTCCAGCTAGTATTCCTTTACAACAAAATCAACATATGGAATACTTTGGTGAAATATAAAGATTTCCAGGTCCAACAGACTGAAAAAAATATTTTAAAAATAATAACCGATACAAGAAAAATTTGGTATGAGAGAATTTTAATAGAACCTCAAAGTTTATTATTTGGTCTGTACCAGAGAGGGCTTTAATCCCATTAGGAAACAGAACTCACAAATAAATATGATTTATTGTGGCATAAAGATCCCATGTCTGTGGTTGCTCAGTTAACAAGAGTACAGTATTGAGCCCACAATCACACCCATTCTCCCTTTCCACAGAGAATGGGGAGCTGTAGAATTTAGTTTTGAGAGAAATATAAGTTGTTTTAAAACCAGATTAAGGGAAAATACACCTATTTTAGAAAATGTCCACATCTACACATTCCCCAAAGTACCACCCCAACCCTGCCCCTAGGGTAGAATACCCTGCATACCAACCTCTACAATGTCATCATCAAACAAAAGCCAGAAGCCATGGCTTTTCACAATAGTAATATAATGCCCACGGTTAGGACCACTGGAAGAGAACACAAAAAAGGAAGGTAACCAAGTTAACCAACATTTACTTCTTTATAAAATTCTAGGTCGCTCCTTATAGGCAGCGATCCACCAGCGAAAAAACTCCCATCAGGACGGAGACCTTGGCAGGGAGAGGCATGGCCATGCCCACAGCCGTCCGACCGGGCGCAGAGGCGCGCCAGGCGCCCGCCTGTCCTGGGCACAAGGGAATGAGGGACGAAAGAAGCACCTGTCTTCTAAGGGCTCACAATCCAGTGGGGAAAACAGACATTCCAATTCGACAAATATCAGCAAATAATCACTGTGTACCTACTACCTGCCAGGTCCTGTTCTGGCTGTCAGGGAAAAAAGCAGCGAATAAAAATCAAGCCCCACTTTACAGGGTGGGGGCGGGGGTAGGGGTTAGGTAGGCAATAAACAAACTAAAATGAAAACGTATTTCCAGTGGTGGTAAGTGCCATAAAGAAGAGAGAAGAGTAATGGCGTCTTGAGCGTGTAGGGAGGGTGCTACTTGGTAAAAAGTGATGAAAAGGGGCCTGGTAACACGCGATTTGAGCAGAAGGAAACGTCCCTGAAGGAAAGAACTGAGGGCACGTGCCATAGGACTCTCTTAGATGGAAGTTTCAGGAACAGAAAGTAGCCAGTGCAGAAGTCCTGGGGGTATACTTGCTGTGTTCACGGAGCAGCAAGGAGGCCAGAGCGGAGTGAGCCGGCAGGGTGGGGGCCAGAGAGGGGATGGGGGACCATGCTTAGGACTGGGGACTCTGCTGTGAGTGCGCCAGGGAGACACTGGGAAATTCCGAGGAACGACATGATCTGATTTAGGTTTCAGAAAAGTGTTAGTAAACCACAGTGTATGGTAACAAGCACTAAAATGAAAAGGTACTTACAACACTAAGAAGTAGAAAAAGAACTACTGAACAGCAGTTACTATGCAGTTAGGTCTGCGTATATGAGAGGATTTTAATCCTAAACTGAGTTTTGTTTGGTTTTTTTTCAATGCACCATTGAAGCTGAAAAGCTTGATTTCCTTTTGTTGGCTTTCCTTAAATACCAGATGACCCATGTGACCGGTCCCTGCCTTTCTCCAACCCGTCCGGCCACTCTGTCACTGTCCCCCTGAGCTCCAGCCCACTGGTCTCTTCTGTTTTCACACACCCCTCCCTTCACAGGGCAGACCTCTGTCCTGGTGTAACTGCCTGAAACAACCCTCCCCCAGCATTTGCATTCTTGACCCATGTTACTCCTGAGGCCTCATCTAAAATGTCACCTCAGTGGATAAATCTTTGCCAAGCCCCTTCCCTGAAGAGGCACCTCCCCTTGCTCTCTCACATCACCCTGCTCATTCCTCAGAGGATGAATCAAAATCATACAGTATTGTGCGGTTTGTTTTTGGTTGAGGCAGGCTGCTCATTTCCCACCAGATCCTTGGCTGCATGAGGGCAGGGCCTCACGTCCTGTTCACTGCTGGGCCTTCAGGCCCTGCCCCGGAATCCAGGGAACAGGGTTTCAAAAAATACTCGCAGTAGAAATCGGCGCACCCACTGCAAACGTGGGCCAGGAGATCCTGGCATGAAGGCACAGGCTTAGCTCCGTGATCGCAGAGCTCTCCAGTGCCCCCCCCCCCCCCCCGCCAACCCAGCTCCAAGACCAGAATAATCGTACCTCTAGTGGGGAAGAATGTAAAGAGTCCCAGGGAGCAGCGTGCATGACTCAGCACCACCTCGCCCTTGCTGCCAGAGCTGCTCTGACCTTGTGTCCCCACTACAGAAGCTGACTGTTCCAGAACCCCACCTCCCGCTCTCCCCCGACTCTCCTAAACGGGCCTCTCCCTTGTCCTCACCAGCGCTCCCAGGGATGAAAGCCGGCACACACACAGACCCAGACTGAAAACCCCGGGTGCCCCACACACCTGAGTGCTCCTGTTTCCTCACCGCCTGTCCCCACTGCCTGCCTCCGCCACGATGCCCTCCAGGTACCAGGCTCTGCCTCCCCAAGCCCTCCCCCACCCCCGACTGCTGAGGCCCCACCGGCGGCCCTGGCTAGCTTCCACATCCCTGGACCCCTGGGTCCTTTAAAACAGTAACTGCCAGACTATTTTTCAGGGAAAACACAAAGCTTTCTTATAACCGGCTGATAAATAGGACTTAATGAGCACATAAAACATCCAGTGACGTAAAGCTAATATGCACAGGACAAAACTGGGGTGCTTCTACTGTGAAGCTACTGTTCCAGATACCACCCACCGCAGGACAGGGTTACAAGTACCTCGGTCCACTCCCCCCACGTGAAACTGTGTTCACCACAACCCAGTCCTGGCAGACGGGGAGGCACAGGCACCTGTCCAGCGGCGCGTCCCAGTCTAAAACCTGCGAGGGCGGGGCAAAGCGGTGCCACCGCAGGAGGAAACACACCCGACCCCAGCTGAGCAACGGATAACAAGAGGTGGATTCTCCATGGGTTTTCCCACACCTAGACACTTCCAAATGATGGAACAAAAAAGATTTGATCAAAGGGCTCGGAAACACTTTGCTCTTCTGTATCCTGGGGCCTTCTCTCTTTCTCTTCCTTCTGATTATGTACTTTTTACATAATGTTGAGGATTGAAAAGTGCATAAAGAATTTTTTAAGAGTATATTTTCAATCATTCAAGAATGCCAAGACATTAGTAACTCTGATCCATTGCTTCCAGTCGTTATTCGTACAGCTTAAAATGCTTTTGAAGTCATATAATGTGTCACCTGGCTTTTTAAAAATTAAAATTACAGCATCAGCATTTATGCATCCATGTTATTTCAAACTCCTCCCAAGCATCATTTATAACCAATGGAGATTTATTATTTCCCTTATGATAGAACATTTAGGTAATCTTATCATGCAGTCAGTTGCATTTTATTTTATGCGTGTATGTAAATATGTTTATATTTATTTTCATATAATACATAAACAAGAACTTGGAGGAGGTTCCCAAAAGTCCCACGGTTACTGCATCGCAGCCCACGGAAGGCCCGGCTGGGTCTATTCCGGCACAGGGACGGCCCTCGGGCTTCTCCCGTGCAGCCCGCCTGCCCTTACCTGCCACAGTGAACCACCACAGCCACCAGGTCGTACATGCGGTCCAGGTTCACCGCGTCACTGGAGGTGTTGAAGAGCCGGAGTTCCAGTGGGAAGACCACCCGGTAAGACAGCTTGGTGTACCTGTGGAGCTGTTCCATGTACTTGAACCGCTTTAGGTGCAGGGCCAAAATCATGGGCAGCTTTTTTACTCTCATCCTAAGAAACCGTGAAATAAAAATCAGTTGTGCCTGACCTGTTAGGGGAACAGAATCCTCTGTCACCTGTGCAAATAGAGAGCAGGAGGGGTCTAACCAACTGCAAATAACCAAACCGCTTGTGAGAATAAAAGTAGGTTCGCTTATTTAGAGCTAACTTATCTTCTGTCCTCGGCTAACTGGAGTACAGTCAGGGAGAGGAAAATGCAACAGTGGGAGTCTGTTTGGACAAAGGAGACATTCCAGAATTTCTGTATCAATAAAAATAAGATGCACAACTGCTCTCTGTCACTGCCCTCGGCCTCCCAGGGAGGACCAGTGTATTGACAATCCTCCCCAGACGCCTTCCTGAGATACAGGAGAGGAGGGGTGACAGCTGTTGGGGAATTGGGGTGAGGACAGGCAGAAGGGTGAGGTCTGGCCTTCCACATTCTGAGGCCCCGCGGGGATGTTCGGACACTGAGAACCACCTGCATCCAGAAAGCAAACACACTAGGCTCGCTCACTCTTTTTTTGCTCTTGGGAGAGTCATTTCCCCTCTCTGGCTCTCAGTTTCCTCATTCATAAAGTGCAGGGGTGGGCTCAGGGCTCCATTGCCCATAATAAGCTCATGAGGGCACTGGAGATGCTAACAGATGCGGGGTTTCTGTGGCCGCCTTTGGACAACGCCACTTTCCGCTGTGAAGCTCCTCCCTGCGGTGAAGGGACTGCTGTCTCCTGTTGGATGCAGCATTTCTCAAACTTCCATAAACACAACTTTTTTCACTAGATGACCATTAATATTCTTTAGTAAAAAGTCACAAGGACAAGTTTATGCAGTTAAGACTCCTAGAATAGGGAATCTTCCAGTTTCCTTCCAGGACCCATGGTCTATGAATGCCTTGAACTACTGTAAGTTCTTCTCTGCTTTTGCACGTTTCAATGCATATTATTTGAAAAGGACAAATGATAAGAGACTATTATTCAGGAACCTATTAAGGTAAGACCTTGTTCATAACAATAACCAAAATAACAACATCAGCGGAAACATGAATTATGGAGAACCCCATGTTTTATAGGAATGCATGACATTTGAGTGTGTAAGACCTCCAGGGCTGAGCAGAAAACTCCGTGCAATGTAGGAAGACCTGGGCTGGCCTCAGGCTGACTTACAGTCTACAGATGGGAGCAGAGGCAAGCTCCCCTGACTACTAATGAGAGCTCACTACCTACCACCTCCAATCCACTCCACCTGCCACAATGACTAACCAACCTTCTGTAAGTTTAGATGCAGCAAGAAAAGATGTGCATGTCATAGGCAAAGGGCTGGGAGGCCGGGCAGAGAAATTATTTCATCTTCAGCTATGGATCACTGGGGGTTTGGATGGCAGTAATGAGCATCTATGAGTTACCGTGAATATTCCACAACCACGGGCAGGGTAAATTTAACTCACAGTAAGGCTTCACGGGCCAATTAAAATGTCAGGTTCCTTGGTTTCTAGGGGGAAATAACAGGGACTCACTGGTTATCTCAGATTGTCCAAGAGCTGTAAATGGCTGCTTGGTGCTAGTAAAAAGATGGGCAAGTTTGGGTCCTACGTCTATTCACAATGTGATAATTTTCTTGCCACCTATCCATATAACTGATGTTAGTGCTTTCCTCATGATTCCTTATTAAATGATTAATTTTTTAACCTCTCCTATCTTCTAAATAAGAAGTTCCAATGTTTAGGCAATACTAACAATGCGATTGCGTGACAACTCTGTGTTATGTAATATGTTAAGTCCTTTTTATAATTCCCCTTTAACCCCAAGACGACAGTGATTACATTTGATCACCACTTGTTTACCCAGCACAGTATTGGGCACAGAGCATTCAATAAATATTTGCTGAATGAATGCATGAGTGAGCAAATGAGCAAACAATCAGATAAATGGACAACTCTCCAAGGTAGGCCGGCATGCTTATCCTGCTTTTTACCAATGAGGAAGGTAACTGATTTTCCAAAGCTACCTGGCCATGAGCCCATGGAACTTGGATTGAAACCCCGACCTGTCGGCCTCCACAGGCAGGTTCCTTCTCAGAACACAAAGCCACCCTCTTGAGCTACATCCTTGACACACCTTTTCTGGGCCTCCTGTTTGCTGCAGCACGTTTCACAATAATATTTCTGTTCACTGCACAGTGTTTCTGTGTTGCTGAAGTCTCTGCAGAGAAAAATATTCACAACTTAAAAAGAAGTACAAGTTGTGCTTGGTATACTGCGTTTTCAACCGTCTATGACCTGCAGGGTAATTTTTAAGTGAGCGTGGGGAAAGGAGTAATGAGAAAAGCTCCTTCATATGAGCAAGTTTTCTGATGCCATTAGAGCATATCTACTGGATTGGACTGTGATTTCACCAGGAGAGATTTTCAAGTACAGCGTTATTTAATGGGGCACACAGAGATGTTTCCAACTGATTGAGAAAAAACTCAGGGTTTAACAGAGAAAGCCTGTCAACTGGAGACATAAATTATAATATACAAATACTAACTATAGTAGAAGCCCACTGCAAAGCTGAGTCCAAAAAGTCAATCACATAAAATACTAGGTGGCATTATTGTACGGTTAACGAAAAAAGTACGTGTCAGGTGGCCTATATTTTCCAAGAACACAAAAGCGAAGACAATGAAATTGAAACCTCATACAACTGCCCTTATATTGAACTAAGAAAGTCCCAAATGGTCAGGAGGTGACCGTCCTACCACTTCCCCACCTCCCCCACCATGGATGTGAACTTCAGCCTGCCTCCTTTTGAGAACAAATGTCAATGTGATGTTATATCTGTATTTGGCTTATCGTCTACTTATAGTTTTCATTTTTTAAATGTCATGGCTTTTCATTCTTCTCTGGTCATTGAGATGCTATTTAACTTTCCTGTGGTACTACTTCAAAGGCAGAAAAGAACATCCAGAATATAATAACACCCCAGAGTCCTGAAGAGGTCTGTGACATTTCCTTATGCATGGGGCATGTCCTAGCACCAGAATGATCCCATTTTAGTAAATCGGAGAACTCCTCCATGTACACAGAACTTATCAAAGTAAAACACGGATTGTTTGTTCATTAAACCCCCAAATATTTACCAACAATACTCAGGACTGCGCTTTGGAGACTTGCAGAGAGTACAGTACCCCCCCCCCCCCCCCCCCCCACAGCTTAGTCTACCAGGGACACATGCCTTGCTCTGGGCAGGTTAAACATAAGTCACTTCACACAACTGATCCCTGTGCTGAAAACCCTCCAACAGTTTCATGCACTTGTCAATCAAATCCAAATTCCTTGCCACCGCGGACAGGCCAGCCATCTTCAGACCTCTGACTGCCCTCCTGACCCCCTCCCCTCCCCTTCCCGGCCCCAGTCTGCTCTGGCCCCCGCAGCCAGCCTTCCCCGGTAGCTCAGGATCGACACCCCCCGCCCCTGCCTCTGGGCACTTCCAGATGCTGTTTTCTCTGCACTGATAGCTTCTTTCTGGATGTTTCCATGCTGGCTTCACTCATTCAGAACTCAGCATTACTGTCACCTCTTGTGAGAAGACTTCCCTGTCCGCTCTCTCCAAACCCACCCAGTCCCTCTCCCGTTGCTGTCATCTCTGGAGCACTCACTCGCCACTATCTGAAACCATCCTCCTCTTCACTGACTACGTGCCTCCCGCCAGTGTGGCAAGGACCCTGTCTGCAAAAAAGCACTGGGAACAGGCCGAGCGCACCGCCGCACTCGATGCGAGTCGGCTGAGCGAATGAGCAACGACACAGGTGTGCGTATAGAGCCCAAGGGAAGGTGCGGGAAAGGAGAAGTGAACTTGAACTGGGGTACTTCAGGGTATTTCCCAAAGGGCGATGCCCGAGTCAGGTTCTCAGAGAGGGACAGTGTGCGGTGGACAGGAGGCAAGGACAGCAGACGGAGGGAACGCCACAGCAGGGGCACAGAGGCGAGGTGCGGGGTACACTTCTTAGAAGCTGGACCCTGTGGCTCCAGACTCCCACTAACCAGACTCGGCAAGGAAAAGACATAACCAGACAGTGCTTTTTAAATACATCACTTCTGGCAGCACCATGAGAGAAGAACTGGAGGGGGTCAAAAGGCAAGGAAACAATCTAGAAGGCAATTACACTCAATCCCCAGATTTCAAGTGCCTGGTGCATAATGCAGTCTCGAATTTAGCTGAGAGAATATGGGCTGGCTCGTCAGTGAAGTCACTGACGGGAAAGCGTGTCTGGGCCTGCAGAGAACTGCCGGGTGGAACGAGGCGGGGGCCGGGAGTGGGGAAAGGGGAGTACGGGTGGCGGTGGACATTCACATCCTTGGTACGTCCGCCACAGACAAACCTCTTTAATCAGCTAAAGAACCAGAAATAACCAAGGCAAGCAGAACAATGAGTAGAAATTAACACTTTCTACTTACTGTCATTTCTCAAAGACAGTTTTCTAAAGTCTTTACAGACCCAGATGGGTAGAAATAAAACAGGAGTTAGTACCTAATCTAAGGATGGTTACCAATCACCACCATCCTGCCCAGCCCCAGCTGCCTCAGAGCCTGATGCCATGAGAGATGGGGTAATGCTTTTAGGCGTCTGTGGGTTGAGAAGCGGAAAATAAGACCAAGTTGGGAAATGGGGGGTGACCGCAGCAGGGAACCCTGAGGCGGGCCAGTCCGTCAGCAGGTGCTGTGTGACTGTGGGCATGATGACAGACAACAAAGGCTGAGGAAACTTTTCAGTAAGCAAGTTAAAGGGGAAGGAGACAGTAGAAGATGTCTTTCCAACGCTCAGGATAAATTACTAAAGCAGAGACAAGGATAGAGAAAAGTCACACAGAATTTTGTGGTTCTTTCAAAGGAGTCATAGTGGCAATAAAGCACTTTTAAAAAATACATTTTGGGAACAAACCCAATATAAAATGCACCCCTTTATAGAGAAAGAAAATTATAAAATCCTACAGGAATGTATACAAAAAAAAAAAAAAAAACCTCGAAAAAACAGTGAAAGATAATGGTCATGGGTGGGAAGGCTACGTACTGTAAAGATGGCTCTCACGTGCAAGTTAATGTCTATATTAGATACGTTTTTAAATTAAAATCCTAACTTTTCCACTCAACACAACAGTTCAGAAGCTGATTTTAGAAATTCTTCAAGCAACGCTTCCCAATCACTTCCAGGCCCTGACCCACAGACAAAACGACACTGCGCAGCAAGGAGCCACGGTAACCGAGCCTCTGCCCAGCCTCTGAGGGACTGGGGGGCCGGCACGCGCCTGCGACCCATTCTCCATGGCACACGAGTCGGCAAGCTTCGTTCTAGAATCTACAGCGGTGGCTCCCCTGGCTGTTCGTCGGCATCAGCTGGGGAACTTTAAAAACAATCTCAGTCCCCATCTACCACCCCCATCCCATCAATTGCATCAGAATCTCTTCCGGTAGAACCCAGGCATTCTTGTTCTTAAAGCTCTTTCCCAGGTGGTTCCAACATACTGTCAGGGCTGAGAGTCACTATTCCTAATGCTCTGCAAACATTAACATGCCGTTGAATCTCTTTGTCAAAATGCCGATTCTGTCTCATTCCTTCATTCATTCTTTGGGGAGACCTGAGACACTGCAGGTCTAATGAGATGCCAGGTGATATCAATGGCACTCGTCCCTGAGCCCTTCTTTGAGTGGCCAAGACCTAAAGCTGTGGTTCTTAAACTTTGGTGGTGTCAGAAGCACCCAGGAAATTCATTAAAAACAGAGGCCCAGGATGACTGAAGTTGAATGGGGTCTGGGCCTCGATTTGTACCAACTTCCCCCGGTGCTTCTGACACATGCCAAGGTTCAAAGACTAAGGACTAGAATATCAAAAAAGATTTAAAAAAGAAATCTATGGGAAAGACTTATGTGTCAGATACTAGAAAATACCACATGACAGCAACCAACACCAAAACACAGGTCAGAAAAACAGAACAGAAAAACTCATGGAGAGGGGATGGGATGTACATGAACTTTGTGCATGAAAGAAGTTCCACAAAATAAGTAGAAAAGGAATTTAAAAAAAAATAAGATGAACTTTTGAAATAGAATTTTGGGAGAGTTAAAAGGCTACTTTCCTCCTGGCACTGGCACAGGAGTGAGAGCTTTCCATCAGAGGGAGGCAGAGAGGAGGCGCGGGGTCTCGGGGCGGAGCTGTGGGAGGCCCAGGGCAAGCTTCCGAGAAGGAGCCACAGGGCAGGGGGACTGAGGCGCTCAAGCAATAAGCCCAAAATACCAAAAGGCCAGTAAGGATAACTGAGATAAAGTTCGAGTATTTTAAGTTTTTGCCTGAGGCCATACCTTAACTTTTCTACTCAGTACTCTCCTATGATACAGACGGCTCACTGAGCCTAAGCAACAGCACTAAGATTCGAAATGTCAGAACTATGGCTCAGAGACACCACGGATCCTGCATTCTGACTTTGACTACCTTCTGTATTATCATTCCTCTGGGACAAAAGTTCACTGAACACACATTGTAACTGATCACCGAAAACCGTTCTGGAAGGAGGTGGCAGAAATCTGACATTTAAATCCCACAATTTTAGCCTGACTTTTTTAACTTTTTTCACCATCGACTGAGAGATAAAAATATCACATCAGAAGAGATCTGCAGACACGATGTTACAGAAGAAACTTCAGTATTCTAATTTTAAAACAAGTCCTTCAAGAACCCAAGCCCAATTAAGCCATGGAAAAGGTCAAAAGAGATCATAATCCTTCATCTTTTGTCTCAGGTGGAAGAGCTAACGGGGCCACTGGCACCACTTGCTCCCTGGGCTCTTCTCCTGCACACCCTCTCTCGGGGGAGGCCGCAAGGCCGCCACCCCCATCACGGGACCCTCAGTGATGAACGACAGCACCGGCGGGCGCTCTCTGCGTTGGGGAGGTGTGGCGTTGGGTGTAGAGGAGGGATGGATAGTAAGCCGGTCGCGGTCTAGTTTCAGGATGGGATGAAATGGGGATGGGCAGGCACTGCAGGAATGCCAGCCTGGACAGTCCCAGCAGGTGAGAACTTCAGGTTGTTTAAAAAGGATTACGAGGCCAGTGCATACTCACCCCCTCCCCAGCTTTAACACCTCCTAGTGCCTCTAGCCTGCCTTCACATTCGCATGGCCAATAAACACATTTCTCCAGTAAAAAAAAAAAAAAGGCACCATAAATCTGGGTTACATTTCTTTATAACATGGCTCCCAAAGGTTAAGATTTTAACTAACCATTAACACTTTTCCTGGTTGGGCTCATAGCTAAGGCCATCGCCATCTGCCCTCTGGAACAGCCCAGACTTCCGTGCTTAGAAGGGAGGGGAAACAGTCAACCCCCCTAACTCCAAATGCTTCCCAGCTCCCCTTCTCAAGAAGGCGCAGGGACAAATCCCGTCCCCTCGCCTGCGACTAACTTCAGCACATCCTCACCGGTTTCTATTCCCTAAGATCACGAAACCTTGGGGAAATAAAAAATGGCTTCTTCTCACAGGAAGATTAGGAACCTCCACCATAAATGGAGCCATTCAGAAGAGAGAGAGGCCACTGCGGCCTATGAAACACTTTGTAAACAAAGAGATAACAAACTTGTCCTAGACCCCTGGACTCAAGGCATTTGGAGACCAAGGCTGATGTGTCAAACCAACAGGAAGTGCTGAGGTAACTATCAGCCTATCAGTGCAATGCTGAGGCAAGGGTTGGGGGGGTCAGGTTCCTGGGAAAGGGGAGGGCAATCAGCCCCCAGGTCTCACAATTTATTATACCCAGATACACCAAGCTCTTCCACTTTTGGAGTTGGTGCCTTCACCCTGAAAGATGACTTTCTTACAGTCAACTGCCATAGCAAGTCCCTTTAATCTACATCTTCTAAAATGTTCCAGGTCACCTACACTCCAGAAAGAAAATTCTGTTACTCTACTCCTCTGATAAAAACCAATAGTGCCTTGTTACGAGACTATGAAGTGTCTCTGAGCTGCAGCACCCTAAGCAATAGGAGACCTGCCTGACCACTGGTCTGCCCTGGCACCTCACTCTTTAGACCCCTTTAATTTCCTTTAAAGCACCGATCACTGTCTGTGGACCCCACCGAAAGTAAATGCTACGAGATGTGCATCTGGTGCTCAGTCCTCTATTTCCAGTGTCCAGAACAGGGCCAGGCTAATCATAAGCACTCACAACCTCTTGTTGAAAACAGGAAAAGAAAAAGGTAGTGAGGAGGGGAACAGGAAACCATGTCTTTATATCAATTTTGAGCACAGTTTATATATACAATACCGATAGTTATCCTGGGCATGTACTGTTCTTATACTCCGGGCTCCTCACCTACCTTCAACCCTAATGAGGAGAAAATCTTTCCCATGAATGATCTCCATACAATGCTGGAAGTTTGAGGAAAAGGCAATTTCCTCAATAGTTCTCAGCTCAAAAGTGCATGATAGACTAGATTACCTTAGAAAAAGAAAGGAATGGCAGGCATCTATAGCATTTATTAACCTAATCGTGTAATTGATTGCGTGTGTGTGTGAGAGAGAGAGAGAGAGAGAGAGAGAGAGAGAGAGGAAAGCCTCTTTAATACATCGGTATTCAAGATTAAAAACTTATTTTTAAACTTAATGACTAATGGCTTCCCCTTGATCCTCTCTTTTCTTAGCAGGACTCTTCTCCAGACCACATATACTTATTTTTAATCTTTCTCGGAAAAGGAGTAGAAAATAGGATTATATTGGTTTAACAGAAAGAAAGATTATTTCCTGAAGAATACAGGCTATTTCTTCCCCCAGTTATTTTCTAGCCTGATCAAAAGCTTAGAGCACAGTCAAAATTCAGGAGGTTACCGTAGACAGTGGGTAATAGATGTATTCTGCTCCACATCGACAGAAAGATCAAGAAAATCTTCATCTTTGCTACTAACCTAAAGCAAAAAAAGAAAAAAAGTATTAGACACAAAATAAACAACAGGCCTAGTGCCCTGAACACTTACAGGGAACCAACAACCACAACTGCAGTAAAAGTTGCGTGTGCCTTTGTGTATATTCGCTGGCAATCAGACTTACCTTGAAAACAACCCAATCTACAGAAAATCCCAAATTTTCAACTTAATCATATCTCTATCCCAGCTTTGATTCAGAACTTTTAATAATTAAAGCTCAACCAGATTTCTTTTCCTCTCCAGTCATTTCCTGCACTGTTCTAAAGTAGGAAGGATCAGACAGATACCCATATATATAGCTCAGACTGGCGGAATGATAAAAATGAAAACAGAAAATGGACAAGAGACTTAAAAAACCTACTACTCAGGTGGTCACCCCTTCATTCAGTTGCCTGCACTTTCTGCCAGTCTCTTGAAATTACTCCATTCTTCCTGTGCCTGGTCATTTGAACTGTGCACGGGGCCAAGGAGCCTAATGTGCCATGAGTGGGGGAGTCACATTAACGATACACACAGCTGTCCTTTGATACAAGAGGTGGTCGTTGTTCACAGAGCCCTGTGCTGTCTGTGAGAACCACTGGACCTGGGGCTGGCCTGGGGCCTGGGCCAAGCTGGTCCACTAGCCCGGGCTACTTCTCAGCCTTCGCCGCTCCCACGACACCGGCTCGGGGTCTCCGGCTTCCTGAAGCTCACAGAGTCAGTGTTGGTGCTCCAGCAGTTCCCCAGCAAGCCCCACATTTTAGTGTCTTGGAGAGGGGTGGACGAATTATTCCTGCAACAACCTTGAGGTGCTCAGCCAATTGGCAATAAGATGAAAATAGTACTCTCCTTTAAGTGTGAAAATTACCCTATGACCCAATACTCCACTGCTAGGAAATTATCTAAAGAAATATTCAGAGATATAAATACAATCTTTCATAAGTATACACAAGAATGAGTATTGAGACAGATTGTCCAACTCCGTATCCTATCTCTGCCCCTTCTATGGGGGATGACTTATGGCCAGCGACGTAGCCTTTCTATACCTCAGTTTCCTCATCTGTAAAGTGAAGACAGTAAGAGTATCATTTCCCAAGGCTGTTTTAAGGATGATATAAATAATATGTGTAAAGTGCTCTAAGAGGTAAGCACTCAACAAATCATGGAAGGGTATAAAACTTTAAATGGCCTAAAATGGTCAAAAAGTTGGAAACAGTTTACGGTATCATAGTAAATGATAGTAAATGAAAGAGTTGGCTATATAATTATATAAATTAATTCCAATTTTGTATAAAAAAGGCCTATATATAGGGGTGGGCAAAAGTAGGTTTATGGCTGTGAGTATGCAAAACAGAGTTTATTCTTGTATTATTTATTAATTATTGTATTATTTTCCATATGAACTGTAAACCTTTTTCCCACCCCTGTATATTCACACACACACACACACACACACACACACACGCCCACCCCTTATCTCTATCATCCTAATTTAATTTTTTATGGCACTTATTACTGCCTTGGTACAATGCATGAAAGGCCCTAAATCTTCCCCATTGCCTAAACTAGCTCTGTGGCCACATGACTTTACAGATCTCATGAACACTAGATTCCGAGTTCAGCCGTGTAACTTGCTTTGGCCCACGGAACGCTAGAAGGCACGTCGTGAGCAGGGGCTTGAATGAGTGCTTGGGAAACTGCTCTCCTGCCCTTCTGTCATCACCATGAGGAGGGCTGGCCCAGGCTAGCCCACCGCTCCCAGGAAGATGGCGAGAGACCCATGGAGCAGAGCTGTTCTCACGGAGGCACCCAGCCAAGCCCAGCCCACAGCCAAGCCCCAGCTGGCCTGCAGACACACGGCGAGCCAGATGAAAGACAAACACACAAGTGCAGCCAAGTCCATAGTTGCATGAATTGTAATAAATCATTGTAGATTATGTCTCAGATTTTGGGGGTGGTTTGTAACAAAGCAACTGATAACCAGTACAACTCTAGCAGGTCCTTGAATAATGTTTCGTTCAATCATGTTGCCTTATAACATTGAAGAGACGCCACAGGAACTTAGCTCACTTACGTCAATCAGCCTATAGTAAAACTGGTTCCATTATACATTGTGTCACTTAGAAGTCAAAGAGCCCATAGGCGACGTTCGGTGAGAACTTACTGTACTTCAATAATAAATATTTTATTTTTATTTGTTTATTGTCTGTTTCCACCACACTAAAATGGAAGTTCAAAAGACTGGCTTCAGTAATGAATAAGACCCTGGCATTCCAACTCCCCTCGAGAAAACATTAAACGCTGATCATTTTAAACTGAACTACCTGAAGGCTCTGGAGACTGAACATAAACGGGCAGATGAGGGTCCACACTCGGAGGAGGGAGGGGCACAGAACGAGCTCATGTTTTCACAGCCTTCAGTGGGGGGTCTGTTGGCAGGGGGATAATGAAGTCTTTCTGGGCTAGGAGAGAGAAAACTGAATCTGGGAAACCGTGTCCACTGGGAAGAAAGGAAAAAATCAGAGCGTGTCCTTAACTCTGCCTCCCTGCCCACGGGTTTGGCTGCACATCTCAGAGCACCGTCAAAGCCACCTGGGCAGGGACGAAGGGCCGGGCCGGGTTCAAGCCGCTGCCCAGGAAATGCAGTCCGTAGCTTGAGTCCAGTCAAGGTAACTGTCTGCTAAACTAAAGGAAATCAATACTCACTGAAGAAAAAGAACAACTCCAAGTCTCAAACGTAACGTTCTCAGTATCCGAGACACAATCTAAACTTACAGTATGTGGGGAACCAAGAAAATGGAAGCCACGTTTAAAATAAAACAGCCGAGACCAATCCTGGGATGACCCAGATGCTGGAATCAGCAAAGGAGGATTTTAAAGAAGCCATTATAACTATTTTCAGTAAAGTAAAATATATTTACAATGAATCAAAAAAGGAATCTCAGCAGAGAAATAGAAACAATAGTTTTTACAAAAGAGACTCAAAAGGAAATTCCAAAACTGAAAAATCAATGCACTAGATGAACTTAATAGCAAACCGGGGACAGCAGAGGAAAGAGCGAGTGGACTTCAAGAGGCATCAACAGAAACTGCCCAATGAGAAGATTAAAGGAAAAAAGATTTAAATAAAAATTAACAGATACTTAGAGGCCTGTTAAATACTATTACATTTGTAATTAGAGTCCCAGAAGGAGAGGAGAAAGAATAGGGAAGAAAATGGCTAAATATCTCCTACATTTGGTGGAAGACCTACATTTATAGATTTCAAGACACTCAACAAAAACCAGGAAGGATAAATACAAAGGAGGCCAGCCAAGGTACACCACAGTCAGACTGCTGAAAGCCAAAGGTAAAAAGCAAATCTTAAAAACACCTAGAGGAGAATAATACATTGCAAGGGAATGATACAGTTAGAAGTTGATCTCCCCTCAGAAATCATGGAGGCCAGAAGACAGCTGAATCATTTCATTAATGTGTTAAAAGAAAAAACTGTCAGTGCAGAATTATTATATCCCATGACTATATCCTTCAAGAATGAAGGCAAAATGAAGAGAATGCATTATTAACAGAACTGTATTACATGAAATGTTAAAGTTCTGCAAGCCTAAGAGAAATGATACCAGACTGAAGCCCAGATCCTCAAGAAGGACAATAGCGCCAAGAACGGAAATTATGACATTGTTCTGTGGGTTTCTAATATATGTAAAAGTAACACATATAACAGCTACAATGTAAAGGGCAGGGTAGGGTGGGGACAGACAGAATGTGCACCTAGACAATTACAAGCTTTCTGTTTTAGATCAAACAGTAATATTATTAACTGTAAGTGCACTGGAAAAAGTAAAGAATGTATATTGTAATGTCTAGAGCAACCACTAAAAAACAACATAAATATTCAAATAATTTTTGTAAAAGGTAGAGAAGGAGAAACACAACAACAAAACTAGAGGGAGACGGGAGATGAAGGAGGATATGAGGAGACAAATGGTGATGGATGGAGATTTCAACTTGGGTGGCGAACACACAATACCATGTACAGGTGATGTGTTGTCAAATTGTGCACCTGCAACCCGTATAATTTGGTTAACCAGTGTCACCCCAATAAATTCAATAAAAAGAAAAAAACATAGGGGGGAATAAATAGGAAACCAATAATAAAATGGAGTCCCAAACCTGATAATTATATTAAACATGAATACAATAAACATTAAAACTAAAAGACAGAAAATGCAAAATGGACTTTTTTTTAACAAAGCATGACCGGCTGGCTATATGCTGTCCTATATAAGAGCTAAACTTTAAATATAAAGCCACAGATAGGTTGAAAGTAAATGGATGGAAAAAGATATACTATGCAAAGAGGTAACATAAATTTTAGTGGGCTATATTAATATCAGATAAGATAGGTCTTAGAAAAAAGTATTATAAGAAATAAAGAAAGTACTTCCTAATAATTAGTTCAATTTACTAGAAAAACAGTAAAAATATGGGAGCCCTTCATGACAGAGCCTCAAGAATACATGAAGCTGGAACACTCTTAACCAATAAATACGCATCAACCATATGCTACAATTCAAATGAATCTCAAAAACGTTACGTAAGTAAAAGAAATCAGACTCAAAAAGCCACATATTGCATGATTCCATTCATATGAAATGTCCAAAAAGGCAAATAGCTAAAGACGGAAAGCAGCTCAGTGGCAGCCTGGGGCTTGCAACGGAGATGAACTGCCAGACACAAGGGATCTTATTGGTATGATGAAAATGTTTTAAAAATGGACTTTGACGATACTTGCACAACTCATCAAATTCCTTTTTAAAAAATCACTGAATGCATACATTTATGACATATAAATTATAACTTAAAGTCGTTTTTAAAAGGAAAAACTTCACAAAGCAAAACCCAACAGAATTAGAGGGAGAAATAAAACAATCCCACAATCGTAGTTAGAGAGTTACCACCTCTCTCTCAGCAACGGATAGAAAAAGTAAGGATGGAGGGGG